TAAGATACTAATAGTCTTATACTACGTATAGTCTACTATAGTTAACGTATCTTTTTCTACTATTAAGTTAAAGGTACTCTTCTTTACTTTAAAGGTATACTACTCTTATATAGTAGCTATACTAGGCCTAGTTCTTAAAAAACTACCTAATATAGCTAAACTAGTAGTACTAAAAGTATCTTTAGATTTATAGGTTAGCTAAATATAGCTTATAGTTAAAGATCTAGGCTTACTAGATTAACCCTTGTTTATATAAGCGTGTTACTACGTTAGCGCTCTAGAGGTATAGTACTACTATTATAAACTTTACTATAAGGGCCCTAACAAGTTTAACTTTAACCTTTATAATATATAGTATGTAGGCTTAGATCTTTACTAGTAACGCTTCTAGCTTTACTTATATAATCTGTTCTACTAGTAGGCCCTTTACGATTACTATAAACTTACTCTTATAGAGCTAGGCTATAGGCCTAAACGCCTTTTATACTTAGCCCTAATCTTAGATCGTGTTCTTTAGTATAGCCTCTTTAAACGTAAAGATAGTGTCGCTACTAAGTAGCTAGTAGGTCGCTACTACCTTAGTGCTTCTAATTACTATATTAGCCGCTATTACTACTTTAATAGCGCTATAACGTACTAGGTCCTTTGTCTGTCTGTCTACCTTAATCCTTAGCTCTTTAATCTGTCTCTCTAGTATAACCTATACTCTTGTTAGGCACTAGCTTACTACTAACGTATAGGTAGCTTAAGGGGCTACCGTTACTACTAGCCTTTAGAAGGCTTCTTTTAACATTTTTCTTAATTGTCTAATCGTTACTAGGTTATTATTAGAAGAAGACCTAAGGGTATATAAGAGAGTCGTCGTGTTTATAGCTCTTGTCTTTACTACTATTGTTATTATAGCGATAAGGTCGTATAAGAGACACGACGCCTCCTTTTCCTTACCTAGTATTACGTAAGCTTTAATCCTTTATATAATTTTCTTTATCTTATTATCCTTATTACCTTTACTACTCTCTAGCTCCTTACTATAGCTCTTAGTTAAGGTATAAGAGTACTAGCTCTTACTTGTAAGTAGGTAGTATTAGCTTTGTTTAAGTCTAGTATACTTACTATCCGTTACTATAAGCTTGCCTATAGTCTGTTAGTACTCTAGAAGGTATCTAAAGGTACTAATTTTAATTCTATTGTTTATTTTTAAGTTTTTAGGGTAGTAAGGGGCGTAGACGACTGTTTTTCTTTTTTATAAAGTAAAATAGCTCTATATTATTATTATTATTGTTTAAAGTAAATAAGAAGACAATAGTATTGTTTTATATTAACTTAGTAAGAGACTATAGATTAGAATCTATAGCTAAGCTAGTAACAAGATTAAAGCTTTTATAAGAGTAACTAAAGGATGATTTAACACATGCTTAGAACCTTTAGGCTACTATAGATATTACGATACTAAACATAAGAGGGTAGAGTTTAAGGTAAGAGATAGAGTCTAGCTATTAACTAAGAACCTGTCTATAGATCGGCCTTTAAAGAAATTAGGCCTAAAGAGGGTAGGACTCTTTAAGATTATAGAGAAGATTAGCTTATAAGTATACTAGCTAAAACTCTTATCTTAATACTAAATCTATAATGTCTTTTACATTAGTCTTTTATTACCTTACCTAAGACTCTCTTAAGAGGATATTAGAGAGTAGGTATAAGAACTACTAGGTCTAGAAGTAGTCGTAAGACTAGAAAGGGATGTAAACAAGGAATAAAAGGTTAAAACTATCTTAGATTCTAAAGTTAGAACTAGGTAAAGAAAGCTATATTACTTAGTCTACTAGAAGGGATAGGGTAAGGACTACGACTCTTAGTAGATAGTAGAGAAGGTAAGTAATACTCTTAAAAAGGTAGCTAAATTCTATCTTAGACATCTATTTAAGCCGGGTCTAGTAAGGTAGTGTTAACTACAAGTAATATTACTATACCTTAGAGAGGATAAGTCGATTAGGACTCTTATATATACTTAGCTAAATACAAGGAGTTAATTAAGACTCTTGTATTAGATTCTTGTTTAAGAATCTACTAAAAGTGAATTTAGTATAGTAGTAATATAGTAGTAACCTAGACAATACCTTACTTTGTTATTTAACTGTTTGTAGTAGTAATATAGTAGTAGCCTAGATAATACCTTACTTTATTATTTAACTGTTTATAGTAGTAATACGTTAGTAGCCTAGACAATACCTTACTTTACTATTTAGCCGATAATACAAATAGTGTTTAAAGGTAAATGTTAGTTATAGAGGTTAGTTTGATCTAACACTACCTCCTTAACACTCTTACGTAAACTAACCTTACTACTTATACTCTAAAACTAACCCTAATCTATTTGATTAGTAATAACTAACCTAATAATATACTAACATTATCTATTATAGAACCTAATTAAGTAACGCCTTATTACGGCTTAGTAGTGATAAGTACTAGTCCGGCTTAGTCTACCTAAAGAGCTACCTAAGGAACTCTTAGGACTAACTTATTGTCGGCTTAGTATAACGTAATTATAAAGGTAGTAGACAATTAGCTCGCTTATTCTTAAAGTACTAAGGCTTATAGCTCTAAACAACTAGTCGATTACGCCTAGAAGTATAGAGTGTCCTTTAGAATTAAAGAGATAGATAAGCTATTACTTTAAATTACTTTAATTTATATCTCTAGAGCCTTTAGTAAGGTAATAGACGATTTTAACCTTAACGATAAGATATACTAGAAGACAGCCTACTATATAGTTGTGTAAAGAGGTAGGTTAGGCGAATTACTTGTAGATCTAATAGATCTAAAGCTTAGACGCCTTTAAGCGTACTTAATCGTAAAAAACTACTTTAGTAGACTAACCTTTAAGGAATTTAACCTAGAGGTAGATTAAGAGTACGTAGTATAGTAAGTTAAGGCTTATTTTAAGTCGTACATAGCTTAAGGCCCTGTCGTTTAGTTAGATTCTAGTAGAGGCGTAGTTCTAAAGAATGTAGTATACTAACTTTTTAATACGCTACTAGCTACTATATAAAGAACACTAGGTAGTTTAGTAAAACAGGCTATACAAAAAGAAGGTATACTATTAAGACAGGTAAGACGTAGAGTCTTAGAGAAGGAGCCCTTATAGTTAGTAAAGGTAGAAGAACAGGATATAAGAATAGGCTCTAAGCCGTAAAGTACGTAGGATTTACTAAGAACTAAGGCCGCTTATATAGTAAGAGAAATAGACAAGTAAGAATTTAAAGCCTTTAATCGACTAAGTAAAACGTTTGTTCTTTAAAGCGCTAAGTAAATAATAACTAAAGACATAGAGTTCCTTTACTTTAAAAATAATAACATCCTAGATATAGTAGTAGAACTCTTAGAGTTAGGTAAGTATTAATTTCTTTACCTTATGTTCTATAAATAAAATACGTAAGTAGCCCTAGTAAGAAAACTATTAAAAGTAAAACGCTAAGTAAGTGATTCTAACATTCTTTTTAGCTTACTTTATAAAGATATTTTTAATTAAACAAAAAGGCGCTAGATAAAACTATAAGGCAAAATAGTATAAGAACTAAGTCTAGTCGCGCTAAAGACTAGAAAACAGAGTAAGCCTGTCTTTCTAAAGATCTACTTAGGTCGTTTTGTATTAAATTAGGTGTTTATAGATTAGAAGTAAGCGTTTATTAATATAGACGATATACTAGTCCTAGGCCTTTTGTCTTTTAACTAGTACGTTATAGCTATACTCTTAAATTATAATGTAAAGGAGTTAGTAGCGTGTTTTAAGTATAATCTTAAGATACTATTATAGTTAATAAAGGCAAGACTTATCGCTTAGTATACGCTATAAGGGCCGACTTCTTAGAAGGAATATACGCGCTACTATATCCTTCTAAAAGAAGAGGTATTTAAACTACTAAGAGTAGTATAGACTATAGCTTAGGTGTTTAGGTAAGGCCTAGCCTATAACTAGGTAGTAGCGGCTAACATAGTATTCTACGTCTTAGCACTATACCTAGTAAGGGTAGAGCTAGATAAGACTCTCTACTAACTAATAATTCTAGCTAATTACCTTACGGCCTTATTTATATAATTTAACCTAGACTTAAGATAATATTAAATATATCTTAAAACTAAGTTAAAACTAGATTAAATCTAAGTTAAAATCTAAGTTAAAATTAAGTTAAGAAGTTTTAAGTAGTTTTAACCTAGTTTTAACTCTAGTTTTATTGTAATAACACACGATTATTATTAAATTAATTTAGAGATTTAATCTAGTTTTAGAGATTTAACCTAGCTTAAAACTAGGTTAATTCTAAGTTAAATCTAGGTTAAAAGTAGTTAAAATACTTTAAACTACTTTAAGCTAGATTTTAAGAGTTAAAACACATTTAAAAAGTTAATTAATTAATTAATTATCTATCTATCTATCTATTTATAAAGATAATTATAAAGACAGTTATAAAGGTAGTTATAAGAGTAGTTATAAGGACAGTTATAAGGGCAGTTATAAGGGCAGTCGTAAGGGTAGTTATAAGGGTAGTCGTAAAGGTAGTCGTAAGTCGTAAAGAGATCTATTATAAAATAATAAATTAGTAAAAGTAAACAAGGTAAAGAGGATCTATAAGGACAGAAGGGATTCGTAAAGGTAGAGGATCTATAAGGGTAACAGAGGGTAAAAGGGATCTATAAGGGTAATAAAGGATCTGTAAGGGCAACAAAGGATCTGTAAGAGTAACAGAGGATCCGCGAGAGTAACAGAGGATCCGTAAGGGCAATAGAGGATCCGCGAGAGTAACAGAGGATCCGTAAGGGCAATAGAGGATCCGCGAGAGTAACAGAGGATCTGTAAGGGTAATAGAGGATCCGCAAGAGTAACAGAGGATCCGCAAGAGTAATAAAGGATCCGTAAGGGCAACAGAGGATCCGCAAGAGTAACAGAGGATCTGTAAGGGCAATAGAGGGCTGTCGAGATCTGCGAGAGCTGTAGAGGGCTACAGAGGGCTGTCGAGGGTATTCGCGAAGGTATAGAGGGCTGTCGAGATCCGCGGAGGCAACAGAGGGCTGTCGAGGGTATTTGCAAAGGCACAGAGGGCTGTCGAGATCCGCGGAGGCAACAGAGGGCTGTCGAGGGTATTCGTAAAGGCATAGAGGGCTGTCGAGATCCGCGGAGGCAACAGAGGGCTGTCGAGGGTATTCGCAAAGGCATAGAGGGCTGTCGAGATCCGCGGAGGCAACAGAGGGCTGTCGAGGGTATTCGTAAAGGCATAAAGGGCTGTCAAGATCCGTAGAGGCAACAGAGGGCTGTCGAGAACAGAGGGCTGTCGAGAACAGAGGGCTGTCAAGGGTATTTGTAAAGGTATAAAGGGCTGTCTAGATCTGTAAAGGTAATAGAGGGTATTCGCGACGCGCTTATTTACATGTAAACAAAGCTAAATCTTGTAGCCTAGTCACGTAGTATAAAATCACGTAATATTATACTTACTATATAAGTATCTAGAACTATCCTTTATAAGTACTTTACTTAAAAACTAAGTTAAATCTATTTAAATCTGGTTAATTCTAAGTTAATTCTAGTTAAACTTAATTAAATCTAGTTAAATTTATTTAAAACTTAGTTAAAACTTAGTTAAAACTACTTAAAACCTTTAAAACTTAGCTTAGAACTTTTTAAAACCTTTTAAAATTAGATTAAAACTAAGTTAAGCTTATAAATCTAGGTTAATATAAACTTAATATAAGTCTAAAAACTTTGCGACAGTCGCCTACGCCCCTAACTGCCCTAAAAACTCGAAAACGAACGATAGAATCGAAATCGGCACCCTTAGATACCCCCTAGAGTACTAGCAGACTATAGGCGAGCCTATAGTAACGGATAGTAGGTATGCTAGACTTAAATAGAGCTAGTACTACCCGCTCGCGAGAAGGAGCTAATACTCTTATTCCCTAACAGAAAGCCGTAGTAAGGAGCCGGCAAGTAGTAAGAGTAGTACAGACGATAAAACAAAGTTAATCTTATAACGAATTAAGGCCTGCGTAATACTAGGCAAAGAAGATAAGGCGTCGCGCCTTCTTCGCGACCTTATCGCGACAACAACAGTAGTAGTAGAGCTAAAGGTAGTAAATACGGCGACCCTCTCGCGTACTCCTAAGACCCTCTCTAACGACGACCTAGTAACAATTAGGTAATTAAGAACGATGTTAAAAGAGGCCTTCTAGAGGCTAATAGCGGCGGCGGCCCTCTAGGCTACGTACGCGTTAGTAGTAAGCTAGCGCCTAATAAGAGTACAGGTAATACTAAAGAGACAGATTAAGAAGCTAAGGATTAGAGTAGATAGACAGACAAAGGACCTAGTACGTCGTAGCGCTATTAAAGTAGTAATAGTAGCTAATACAGTAATTAGGGGCGCTAAGGTAGTAGTGACCTGCCGGCTTCTTAGCGGCGACACTATCCTTACCTTTAAGGAGGCTATACTAAAGACCGCGATCTAGGATTAGGGCTAGATATAAAGGGCGTTTAGGCCTACAGCCTAGCTCTATAAGAGTAAGTTTATAGTAATCGTAAAGGGCCTACTAGTAGACCGGGTTATACAGGTAGAATTAAGAGCGTTACTAGTAGAGATTTAAGCCTATACGCCGTATGTTATAAAGGTTAAAGTCAAGCTTATTAGGGCCTCTATAGTAAAGTTTATAACGATAGTACTACTCTTCTAGAGTGCCGACACGGCAACGCGCCTGTATAAACAAGGGCTGATCTAGTAAGCCTAGATCTTTAACTACAAGCTATATTCGGCCGACCTACAAATCTAAAGATACTTCTAGTACTACTAGTTTAGCTACATTAGGCGGTTCTATAAGAACTAGGCCTAGTATAGCTACTATATAAGAGTGGCGTACCCTTAGGGTAAAGAGGAGTGTCCCTAACTTAATAGTAGGAAAAGATGCGTTAACTATAGTAGACTACACGCGGTATAAGACTGTTAGTATCTTAAGGCCCTTAAGATAAAGGAGTAGGTATATGCCGTATATTAGTAGAGACCTAGACAGTTTAAGGTATTAAAGAGCAGCTTTACTAGCCGAGTACTTAGTGTTACGCTAGTGTCCTCGTAAGATAGTAACGACGGCTACTAGGTCGTAGCTCCTAAGAGACTACAGACAGGTAATAACAAGAAGCTAATAGTAAGGACTCTAGTAAGGCATAGGCGCCCTCTTATTAGGGCGCTAGATATAGTAACGGTTTAGAGCTACGATATTATAAAGATATTAAGCTAAGGAACTAACTAGAGGTCTAGCGACCTTTTTGTAACGTAGGACTTGTAGATCCTAGACTCTTAGTAATAAAACTAACAATAGTATACTAGAATACTATAAGAAGGAACAGCCTCGCCTTAATAGCGCTTTACGATAGCCGCGAAGCTAATGTTATAGTAATCTAAGAGCTGTAGTATAATAAACAGACAAAGACAGTCTACTGCCTAGTATAGGCGAAGTACTAGCAGGTCTATAAGGGTAAAGGCCGCGTAGTTATCTATATTTACAAGCGGTACCTACCTCTTACTTAGGTAGTAGAGACTAGCGCCGACTAGTGTTACGTTACTCTATAAGGTGTTACTGTCTAGTTAATATACTTGCCGATTCCTGACTCCCTAGGCTAGACTAGCCCTCTCTAGCGGCTTACTAGAAAGGACCTAGAGAGGCCGTAGATCGTTATAAGCGACATAAACCTTTACTACCTACTCTAGGACAGAGCTAGTAAGACTACCCCTAAATTAGAGACCCTCCTTTATCTAGCCTATAGGTAGTAGCTCTTACTACGTACACCCTAGGAGGAGCTAACCTAAAAGAGATATAGCAAACAGGACTTAACGATTAATTACGTATAGGCTATAGTAACGCTCTAGTATACCTACTAAGGTAACCTAGGGTACAAGGGATCTAACTACTAAGCCTAGCTAATCAAGGTTATTACCTAAGTAAGGGATCGCTATAAGAGAGCTATAGAGGTACTAGGATAGAGCTAGACCCTAATAGACCGAGAGCTAGTAGCGATTAAGGCCGGGAGGCTCTACCTCTTCTCTAAGCCGCTAGACATACCTTATAAGGTTAACAAGGCCGTTAACTCGCTTACCTCCTAGCTTATACGTATCGTAGACCTATCTACCTTAAGAAAGAAGGTTAGCTAAGGGCGTGCTAAACCCTAGTAGAGTAGTAAGGTCCTTAAGGCCGTTTAGTAAACGCGGGCGGCGCGCTATTAATATACCGCTACCTTAACTAAACTTTACTAGCGCGACCTCTAGTAGGCTAGTACCTACTAACTCTAGACGATCTAAGATATAAAGACTAGGAGCTAGCGTAGCGCCCTTACTACTACCTTAAAAGACTAACAGAAACTCTAGAGTCTCGAAAGGTAGGCTAGGCTCTATAGCTACGTGTCCCTAGAACCGGCCTTACTCCTTCTTCTTTAGGGCGCTAATAGAGAGGTACTAGCTACAAGCTACTATAATAAAGTAATAGTATTAGGCCGGCGGTTCTTTTCGGAATTAGTAGCCGATCTTAGTGACGTCGTTCTAGACCTCTAGGACAAGTAGTACTAGTAGTTTACTATTAATAACGCTATAATAGAGGTAGACATTACTAACGTCCTCTAAAAGACAGGTACCTAAAAGGCGCTAGGACCTAACCTACTACTTACCGGCTTCCTTAAGGCATACAGGCGCCCCTTAGCTAAGCTCCTTATAGTAGTAGTAACTATAAGCCTCTAGCTAGGGCACGTCTTAGCGTAGTTTAAAGTAGTAAAGGTAGTAGTACTACGTAAGCCTAGAAAGACCCTTAAACAGTAACAAACCGCTAAGGCCTATAGGCTAATATTACTCCTAAGCGTAATAAGTAAAGTAATCGAGTCAGTAATTAGCTAGCGCTTTACTAATACTATAGAGTCGTAAGGGCTCTTTCTAGAAACACAGATAGAAAACCGGCTGTAACGCTTAACAGACCTTATAGTTAAAATAGTAGTCGACGCTATATACACGGCATAGAGCTATAGGGCTGTAGCGTCTCTCCTCTAACTAGACATTAAAGGCGCCTTTAATATAGTGAACTATATACGCCTCTTCTATACTCTCTAACACCTAGGGTTCCTTATATAGGCTGTATAGTAGGTGTATAGCTTTCTTACTAATTAGACAGCTAGCCTCTTCTTTAACAAGGAGGCGGCGCCGCCCTAAGAGGTTACTACAAGAGTACTATAAGGCTCGCCCTTCTCTCCTATCCTCTTCTTCCTCTATACTACTAGCTTGTACACGCTACTATAGAGACATATAGGCCTTATTATAGTAGGGTTTACTAACGACCTTAACCTTTTAGTATTTAGTAGAGACACAGTAGAGACACGCTAGTACCTTAAAAGAGCGTAGTAGACCTGTAGCTAGTAGGCACAAATAAGGGGAATAGAGTTCGCCCTTAAAAAGAGCGAGCTCCTTTACCTTACTCGCGCCTACGCTATACTAATAACGCCTGTCTACCTTAACGGCCGGGTTATACCCCTAGTCTAAGAGGCCCGCTTTCTAAGAGTTTAGATAGATTAGAAGCTTAGGTAAAGAGGCTACCTTAACGCTATTAAACGAAAGTTCGCTACCTAGTAGTTTACGCTTATAAGGCTTATCGTGTCCGTATAGGGATATAGCCTACTACGCGCGAGGGAGATCTATACAAAGGTAATCTAGAGCGCTATAGTATATAGCGTAAGGGTCTAGTACTGCCCCTCTAGGTAACGAGCTAAGGGGATTGTAAAGGACCTCGTTATAAAGTAGTTATAGTGCCTCTACGTTATCGTAAGGGCGTACTAAGCGACTCTTGTTTAGTTTCTTAAGTCTAAAATAGCTACGCCTCTACTTAACCTCTACCTTAACAAGAGGGTAGTAGACTTTAAATAACGTCTAGAACGTATAAGTAAGGGCAAACTTATATAGTCTATTTATAATAAGGTAGCGACCCGCCTTTAACAACGCTAGAGACACTATCGCGACACTACTATAGTACTACCCTATACGTTACTTAAGTATAGGGCAGGCTAAGCCGCGTAGGCAAAGGACTAGTACAGGGACTCCTTACTAGAGGAGACCTTATAAGAGAACTAGAGGACACGATAAACCTAATACGACAGTTCGCTAGTATACTACTAGGGTGCCGCCCTAGCCGCGCTACTTGCCCCTTTAGTAGATGCCCTTAAGAAGTACTTACTCTTTTATAAGTATAAGAGCTTACTTTTAACGTAGATCTGTACTAGTAAGGTTAGGCTCCGGGCCTTTCTTTTTAAACGTAGAGTACTAGAGGTAGCGACCTCCTAGTACCCTTATAGTAAGGCCCTAGAGACGGTAGCTTACTTAGTCCTTAACTACTAGTAGCTCGACTAGTAGTAGTAGGCCTTACGACAAGTACTCTACCTAAGGGCGTTACAGACGTTCCGCGACTTTATAGTAGTAACAAAGAGAGGAAAGAGCGCGCACGTACTAATCCGCTAGCTACTGTCTACTGGCCGGTTCCTATAGTTTAGGCTAGCCGAGCGCTACCTAGCTAAAGAAGAGGAGGAGTAATCCTAGTTAACGGCTAGCGTCCTTCTAGCGTCTTGCTAGCGTCTTGTTAGTATGTTTAGTATTACTAGGCTAGAAGGTTAAGTTCTAGTAGGGTAGTAATAAGGTCCTAGCGCCTTAGCGGCGCCGCGACAAAGTATTTACAAGAGGTAGTACGTAGGTTTTTACCCGGCTTTAGCACGGTTTTACCACGTGATTTATATAGTATAGAGGTTCCGTATACATTAGGCATAGGTAGTAAGAACAATAATAATATAAACTTAATATTAGCTTAACTATTTCTTAAATAAAGGGCGGTTAGCCTGTAAGTACTACTACTAACCTAGTTTAGTAGAGAAGAAAGAACAGGAAATAAAGGATAAGGACTAAAGAGTAGTAGTAAAGGATAAGAAGAAACCGCTAGTTAATTAGATTAACGAGGACATAGTAATAAGGGATTAAGGAGGACAGACTAGTACTATTAAGAGCGATAGCTATAAAGAGAGGGCGGGTGTTATAAGAGGCCCTTAAGGAGTGCCTAGGGTACTTATAACTAAGCCCTTAAGTAAGCTACACCTGTATACAGTACTCTATAGATAGCTTTCTAGATTCTTAAGAATAAGTAAGTTACTAACACAAATCCTTACCTAAGATCTACGGCGCCTGTAACAAGTACTCTAGATTACCTTTATATAGATCTTTCTTACGTATAATAGGCTATATCTTTATATAAACGTAATAAGCCTAGTAAGTATAAACTACTAGATAGTAAACTTTTGTTTAATTGTATTAAGGTAGCTCTTTTATCTAAGCTTATAGTCTATTTATACCCTTAAGAAGCAGGCCTCTTAAACTAAGAGTATAACCTAGTTATTAAGGTAAATAAGTATTATTAGTATAGTATAAGTATAAGTAAGGTATAAGAGCTTACTCTTTTTTAAAGTAAACTTTATTCTTCTTATATATAACTACTAGTTATATATCTACTATACTCTTTTAAGGTACTACTAGTGTATATCTTTATTATATCTTTACTAGATACTAAGAGGTTAAGGTTATTTATAAACCTTACTATAATAAGGCCTATATATCTTTATAACTATATATATAAGCTAGTAGTATAAGAAAAAAAGAAAATAAAAAAGAAGAGTAAACCTTATAGTACTCTTATAGTAATACTCTAAGAAGGTACTATCTTCTTATTAAAGAAGAGACTAGCCTTTTAGTTAGTAAGAAAGCTACGTACTTACTATATAGCTTATACTAAGAACCTTTAGTATTAGAGAGTATAAAGAAAGTACGTATAGTTTACTATATTAAAGGCCTTTTTAATATTAAGTTAAAAGAAAGTTATAATAGCCTTATAGTTCTATACTATATATATAGTGTTAACTACTATCTTAACTATAAGGTTTATTAAGCGCTAAGGTTAGTTCTTTATCTACGTTTTTAAGAGAAGCCTTTACAACTTTATAGTATTAGTAAAGTACTAACTAACTACTAACTTAATTACTTTACTTATTATATTTAAAAGTAAAATAAGCTTATAGGCTCTAGCGATTTATTATTACTTAAAGGTCTTTCTAGGCTTATATAGTACTACTACCTTTACTACTTTAAACTATATAAAGAAGTACCTTAACTAAAGGCTTACTATTACTACTACTATAAAGAGCTTAGCTAAAGGCCGCTTATATACCTTAAGAAAGCTAGTAAGTAAGAGGTTAGGTCTTAGTACCTTTTAAGTACTTATCTTATAAAAGATATCTATGATCTCTTTTTTTATTATAGTATTATTAATAGTAAACTACTAGTATTACTTATCTTAAAGGTCTAGAGTAATATTACTAAGGTTAGCTATTAATTCTAAAAAGAACTAACGGCCTAATACTATTACTTTGTCTTAGTAGCTTATAATAGCTAGTATCTTCTTATTAGTATCTTAGAAAGGTAAGAGTAAAACTAATCTAGAGGTATATAGCTATAGAGTCTAGCCTACCTCTTAAGGTTCTAGAGTTATTATTAGTTCTTTAAGGTAGTAGTAAGGGTACTATACTAGCTCTTAGTCTTTATGTCTTAAATCGTATAGAGTTAATAAGTACTAGCCTATTAAAGGTCGTACTAGTAAAGCTTAGTTAAGGTAGTAATGTATTAGTAACGTACTACTTATATTTACTAAATAGTATTTAAGACCTTACTACTTTACTAAGCCTTAGTACGTCTTTAGCTAACCTTCTTTCTTAAGGTAGATATATTAGTAATATATATAAGCTAGGTAGTAAGTAAGTTAACTACCTTATTAACCTTAAGAGATATGTCTAGTAGTCTTAAAAAGAGGTAGAGCTTCTTAGCCTTAATAGTAACAAGTTCTTAGTTTATTAAGGTCTAGCTTTATTCTAGTACCTTTATAGCTTTCTTATAACGTTCTCTTAGACAAGTAACGACCTTAATTAGCTAGGTATAGTAGTTAGATCCTTTATAGCCTAGGTTACCTTAGTAAGTATACTAGAGTATTACTATAACTTACGTATAGTTAATTATTAAATCTTGTTTCTTATATTACTATTAGGTTAGTTCTTCTTAAGGTATATATAGTAAGAGCTACTACTTACGTGCCTTACTATAGTATCTTAAGTAAGGTTTAAACCTAACTTAAGATTATCTTAAGTAAGTAAAACTAGGTTAAGCCTAGTTTAAACCTAGTTTAAAACTACTTAGAACTTAGCTTTAGGTTTAAGGTTTAAGGTTTAAGGCTTAGGTTTAAGGCTTAGGTTTAAGGCTTAGGTTTAAGGTTTAAGGCTTAGGTTTAAGGTTTAGGTTTAAGGTTTATATATAGAACTTATACTACTACTACTATATAGTATTATTCTAAAATCACGTGATTTTATATTACGTGACTAAGCTAATAGAGTTAGCTTTGTTTATATGTAAACAAACGCCCTCTACCTTTACGAATCCCTTTTATAGCTAGCCCTTTATAGCCTTTAACAGCCCTGTATTCTTAACAGCCCTCTATTCTTAACAGCCCTCTATGCCTTTACGAATACTCTTAACAGCCCTCTGTTGCCCTTAACAGCCCTTTGTTGCCTTTAACAGCCCTCTGTTGCCCTTAACAGCCCTCTGTTCTTAACAGCCCTCTGTTCTTAACAGCCCTCTGTTCTTAACAGCCCTCTGTTCTTAACAGCCCTCTGTACCTTTGCAAATACTCTCGACAGCCCTCTATTGCCCTTAACAGCCCTCTGTTGCCCTCGACAGCCCTTTATTACCCTTGACAGCCCTTTGTTCTTAACAGCCCTTTGTTACCTTTGTAAATACCCTTAACAGCCCTCTATACCTTTACAAATACTCTTAACAGCCCTCTGTGCCTTTACGAATACCCTTAACAGCCTTCTATTACCTTTGCAAATACCCTTAACAGCCCTCTGTTCTTAACAGCCCTCTATACCTTTATAAATACTCTTAACA